TAGAGACACAACAAACATCTAACTTGTTTTTAATTATTTTTGGATGCAAGGACACTTTTTCTTTAAATACTGACTCATGTTGAGACTGGGCCAGGATGTAGCTAAGTGGTTTATGTGCTCAGTGAGGTCTCCTGAAAGTTTGGTTTCTGTGAGCTGGTTTCCCCTGGGGCCTCATTGATCCTGGGTTAAATGAAACAACTATACTCCCAGGGAATTAAGACCTTCTCATGGCCCCCAACAAATTATGATAATGGATAGGATTAGTTTGCTTCTCCATTTTTCCTGTGCTTACAAAAAAAAACCACTTCTTTGTCTACTTGTGTACCTATCCTTTACACAATTATCAGTGTATTTGGAGAAATTTATTTTTCTCTTTGGGTATCAGGTTTCTTATCCACAAGGGAGGCATCGGGACTCTACGCAATTTTTAAAAGATTTCTCCTCAAATAACAAGATTTGCAACAAGAGTTTAAACAATAACAATAACACAAACAATGAATTCTAGGAAGATGATGGCAGCACAGTATTTGATATCCTGAAATCCTCACACAAAAACAGAGCAACTAAATAGCAAAGCCAAAACTCACGGGCAACATTTTCAAAAAAACTAGCTGACAGAGTATCTCCCAGAATCCCGAAATATATGCTGGTGGAGACAAATCCCCATTTCCACAAGGCCTGCATGATATCAGTGTCTCTGTAGAGGGAAGCAGAAGGGAGCAATGGGGGCTCTGATAGGCCTGGAAATAGAACATCCCCAGAAATCCCCATAGATATTCACTAGAAAATGCAAAGGTTTAATTTAAGAACAGTGGCTAAAATTGGGAGAGATTGTACCTAGTCCAGTAAAGGTGGCCAGTGGCAAGATCTGAGGGAGTCAGAGACAAACAGCCCCTAAGATCTCTCCACACTGACCAGCCAGCATTGTCTTCCAAATAGGGCTCTGCAAGGAGGGGACACTACTAGGATGGGGGTGACAATTGATAAGGACTAGGACAATAGAAATGAAAGAAAGGGAAGAAAGACCAATGGAAATCAAAAAGGCAATAAAGCAAGGACATCTCAGGAAGCAAGATGCCATTTTTTTTTTTTATATGATGTGAAAAAATAGATTAAGCTCTGTGAAGTCAGAAAAGCTAACCCGAATGTATCCTTTATACACAAATGGCTTTGTGACAACACACCATTTGGAAAATTCACTGAGTTATGTTGATCCTCCAAATCCTGACACATGTATTTCTACAGTATCAAAGATGTATTTGTTAATATCGACACTAATCTTATCAGAAAAGTGGTTAGAAATTTAGGATGCTGTCAAGCCAAAGGTTTTAAATACAAATTTTTCACGTGCAAGTTCAAATTTTGTCAATGGCAACAAACTCTGACAGCTGTATTTCTTGAACTGAAACATTTAGTTCATTTTGAGAATGTGTGCTAAATGCTCAAGTCTGAATAACTGTAGTTTGTCAGATGTTCTTTCAAATAAAAATGGAGTTCCAAGAAAAAGCAGTTAGTGCTGCTCAAATATTACACAAATGCTTCCCCTTGAGCCAATCATTGTGTTACTTTTAGAAGCAGTGTGCAGAAGCGCTTTATAAAGACAGCTGCCTCTTCACCCTAATATTAAACAGATGTGTTCTCAAGATTGAGTATTTAATGCAATTAATATTTTTTACTGTTCAGCAAGAACGCTCTTAAGTAAAATTGGCATTTTTCTCTCTTTTGTAAATGCATGGTGGTGAAGAATATGGTGCTAGTGGGGCGTGATGGCACTGCCTTGATTCATATTAAGGTGCCAGCTGCTGCATCCATCACTGCTTTAGCACCATCTGTGCAAATGTCAACACAGTGAAAGAGCAACAGCACCTACATATTACTATGAAAATACTTTTAAGACCATGGACCTCCTGAATGCATCTCAGGGGCCCCCAGGTATATTTTGAGAACATTTTGGGAATCTCTAGGCTGAAGAGACATCAATATAAGGACCAGTAGTGAACACTAAGTGGATAGATTTATATACATATCACCAAAGATTAAATGAGGACTAAAAAGGAGAGAGTATAGGGTATAATAGGTATATATTGTGACAACATATAGTATCACTATTAAAAGAATGAAAAAGGAGGATTAAAAGAGCACATGTAAAGAATTTTGCAGTAATCATACTAGTGTTTGTATTGTTATTCTGAGACTACTGTGTGTGTGATGAGGTACAGAGCAAATGATTAACTGTGAGATGTTCTAATTCTGTTATCCTCAGTGTCTTTGAAAACCAGGATTCCTTGAAAGAAAGGGAATAAAACTGTAAAGAGAAAGGAATAAATAAAAACCCTGCAGTTCTAATTTGAATTGTAACTATTGTGAACTTGTGAAGCACTTTTCTTTAATAGGTAAATGTGTATATATGTTTATTATGCATATACTATGTACATGTGTAGTGTGCATTCATATCTACTAGCTCTGCCCACTAAAAAGTCTAGAAACAATAACCAAGCCAGTAGCAATGAGTATCACTGATATTAAGCATCTAGATCACCTTGAAATATCATTTCCCTACTAAAAGAAGTCAGGACTTTTGGAAATTGACTGATTCCAGGTTTGGGGCATAAAATATATAACATGAGCCTGAGAAATCTGGTCATACTAAAAAGAAAAATAGCTACCCCAAACTAGGAAGATCACGTTTAAAGAACTAAGAAGATAATTTGAAGATACTTCCACTGGTCAAAGATGGGAAAATTTGAGATTCAATGAAGGACGGTAATTACAATGTATTGACCAAGTAAACTGATTTTAATACATGAGTTTATAATGATATTTTTAAAACATTCACAATAATATGTATAGTAAGAAGATAAAGAAGTAGAATTCACTTTTAGAGGAGATAAATATCTGATTATGTGCTTTAAAAATTGGTAAGTAAAGGGAAAGACCCAAGCTGTGTTTATGCTGCCTTTTAAAAAGTTACCGTTGGGTTCCTAAGCAGTAGATGAGAAGGAAGTTTTTGAAAAGCATTCCAATTATTAACTTAAAAATTAAAATGTTGCCTCATGGATGAAGCTTGAGGACATTATGCTAAGTGTAATAAGCCAGTCAAAACAAGACAAAAACAGTATGATAATGGGTATATGAGGTACCTAAAGTAGGCAAATTCATAGAAACTGAAAGCAGATGGGTAGTTACCAGGGCCTGGGGGAGAGGACAAAAAGAGCTTGTGTTTAATGGATGGGGAGTTTCAGTTTTGCAATATAAAAAGAGCTCTGGAGATGGATGGCGGTGATGGTCGCAAGACAATATGAATGTACAGAATACTACTGCCCTGTGAACTTAAAATGGTTAAGATGATACATTTTAAGTTAAATGTGTTTTTACCATAATTAAAGGTTGAAAAAAACCACATAATTACAATATCGGCATTTCAGCTTCCTGCCAATTAATAGTTTTAGGAATTTTGTAAGTTCGCAAAAAGAGAGATAAGGAGACATTATGTGTCTCCTGACAAGGACACAACACAATCAAAGGTCACGCAGATCAAACATGAATTTGATCCAGATCCTAACTTGCAGAAAATGCAGAGGGCAGAGAAATATTTATATATCACATTGCACCATGAATCAACAAATCCATGAATCAACAAATTCAGATTATAGGAAACCCTATAAGTGAAATAACATGATTTTTCAAATGGCAAGTTATAGGGGATTCTGTATATTAAAAATTCTAAAAAGATATCAAGTAAAGGAATAGGAAACTTAAATACAATGTCTTGGAAGTTCATTTGGGAGATAAAACTACAAAGAAACACAAAGAAATTGATATCAAAATTTGTATAGTAAGATGACAGACGCTGGGATTGGGTCACAGCACAAGGAAGTGTTTTGGGGATGCCTGGAAAAGTTCTATTTTTTTTTTTAACCTAGGTAGTTATTTGTTTTATATAATTAATTAAGATGTGTGTGTATGTGTGTGCATATGTGTGGTGGTTTTCTGTATTGTATGAATTTTAATTTATAATAAAGATTTCAAAAAACAATGGACTAATGTATCTCTAAGCTTCTTGTAGCTTTAAATTTCATATTTTCTAATGCCTGCTAAACTCTTCAGATAGAAATTAAGTTTTCTGAACTATCTCTTGCCAAAAATCTGATGTTCAATTTATATTGCCCTTGGTATTTAACAAAGGAAATTAAACTGAAGTGATGTAGGCGGACATGCAAAAGCTTTTTTTGCATGTCTAAAGAACTGGGAATAGTGGAATTTTAAAAAAAGGAGCAGTATCAGGTAGTAAAATCCAAGTGACTGAGGGGGATATTTTGTTCTAAACTAAAAAAACCCAGGGTGAATCTAAAAATAATTTTTGCTTCTGCTTCCCCTTTTCCTATCAAAATTTGAAATCATCAGTTAGTCTTGTTTGCAGCCAACAATGGTGCTATTAATGACACAGAGCACCTAGGCCTGCTGGAAAGAAAAGGAAGGTGCGGTTTAGTTCATTGCAGAAAATAATTGAGACACTTTGTAATTTGAACAACAGAAATTCCTTCATGTTTTAACCTACAAATAAACAAGCAGCATTGCTTTATAAAAGACCATTTTTCCATCTTTAAGTCAGTCAAATAAAATCAAAATTAATAAAAATGTATGCTAACTGAAAATAATAACTTTTTGAATTATCTGAAAATTATATTGAACTCACCAAGTGAAGTAGTTTTCTTTTTTTCAGTCTGTAATAATACTTTACATAAGATTTATGAAGGTTTCATTTATTTTTATGAAGCTAATGAAGAGTGATTTAGTACATTTTATATTTAGTAAATTCAAACAAAAAATATATCTGACTCTCAAAAGGAAGATTTCACATTTAAAGAACTTCAGTTAATAAATGGAGTTACCATATATTCACTTATTACCTTGGTTTGCTCAGAGGTGAGTAGATTCTGGAAAACCAAGAGATAATTGCTTCTTCTTTTGATGAGGGTGTAAGATAATCATTTACTTACCCTCCATGATAGTCAAAGGATCTTCCACTTTGGGACGCAGGATATTAGGACCAAAGACAGTTGCCAAGTTCTGCACACTCATTTTGTTAATTCCCGAATATGACTGTACTTCATCCAAGAACCTACGGAGTGTAAGCATATGATCAAAACACAATAGGATCAAATTTGCCAGTGGAAGAATAATCGATCATTAGAAAATTTACAAGCTGGAGTAGGTTCAAAGATGACTATGGAGACAGAATTATGTGGATACTCACACATCTCTCACTCAAACACAGGAAAAATATACTGCAAATTAGGAAAGATCAAACTTTATATATTATATCAACTATCTGTTTTGGCCTGGCCTGGTTTGGTTTCTTCTGCCAATCAAAGGAACAGGTATGTTTGGACAATGCTAATATGGAGTTGAGAGTCAACAATGTGGATTCCCTTCCAATCCCTCAATCAAGTGATAATTTATATCTATGTTCAATGAGAGGACTGTAGATAAGATCAGCTGGTAGAATGTCTTATTTTAGACAGAAGGAATTAACCCTCTTTGTAGAGCATTTGCGGGCTTCAAATTTATAGTACTTAAGAAATGAGATAAAATACAGTAGAAATTAAAACATCATTTCTAATGATATAAAAAATTGCAAAGGCAAAATGTTTCAATTTATTAGGTGCTAAAAAATAAGGGGCATAAAATAGGAGAGATTGTTTTCATAATCTTTCAGCATTTCTTCATTCCCCACCTCCTCTTTATTTATACAAGAGCTTCTCATATTGCATGGCTTGCTAACTGTACTGATGAGATAGAAAGTAAACAATGAAACATCAAAATAACATATTTATAGAGTACTATTATGTGTCAGTCATGGTGCTAAGTTATTAAATTCTAAAAGCATGTCTCTGAGATAGGTACCATTATTGTCTCTGTTTTACAGATGAGAGTCATGTGGTACCAGAAGGAAGATCTTCTCCAAAGACAGAGTTAGTAAGGGGCAAAGCTAAGATTTGAACCCACCAGAGGATATGATGTCAGAGGTTGTACCCTTAACTACTACAGCATGACTTTCTAAAAAGGTGCCTATTTCCACACATTCATTACTGTTACACAGCCTAAAGCATAGTAACATTGAAGGCAAAACGTTAAACTAGCGTTTCTTATTTAAAATACCTGAAATTAAAAGTCTGCTTAATTATTTCAAGAGAAGTTAGGCCTTTCTATTGCAGAGATAAAGACTTAAAATATGGTTCCAAAGAAGCTTTTTGGTCCCCTTTACTTTAGGAGAATGTAATCTCTTCTTCTTCTCTTTTACCTAAGGAGAATGTAGTCTCACACACTAGAATAATTTGAATTAGTTCAAAATATTTGGATTATAACCTTCCATATTAATAAGTCTAAGCTGTCAGTGGTATGATTTCTTGCTTTTTCAAATTCTGGAACCCAAGGTCCCATTTGCTTCTAAGTATAGCCATCACTAGAGAAAATTATTGTGGGAGGATTTGGAATTTCTACTCAGTTACATTGAAAATTACCACCAAAATGTCTGATACTAGTCTTAGACTTCATAGTTCCTAGCCCGTTGAACACTTATCTAATCATAACACCAAACACATATATAAATGATGCACTGTACTGAATTAAAACTTTGAATTCTATTTTAAAATAGACTGGGAAGCCATCATGAAAGACGCCCTGCAGTGACTTGCAGTGTCAATGTCATTCTCTATTTAAGTTTATTCTGTTTCAATTTTGCATGTTTGGTTTCTTAAACAGGAGCAAATACATGACATATCCCATCCTAGGCTTTGAGTTATACACGGAGAGATACATTTTTCAGGCACAATTATTTTTCTACCAGAATTCAGTTAAATGTCTTTTTGATAAATCCTGAGGTGGGAGAGAAATGGAAAGAAAATAGCATTTATTGAACATTTACTACATATTAATATTTAAAATATAATTCAATTTTTAAAACGACTACATGAAATACGTGTTTTCATTACCATTTTACCTATTAGGACCCTGAGACTCAGAAAGAATAAGAGAATTGCTTTACAGGCAACTAGTCAATGACACGATCTTGGCTCCCATGCTGATCTTCCCCATGCCAAGATAGCATGCTTCTTTTCCTAAACAACGCCACTCCTGGAATAGTACAAACACTTGATGGAAGTTCAAAAGAACATATCTTTAAGAGATACTTCAGAAACATCAAATTTCAGAATCAAGGAATTTAATGCTCAAAGAAGTCTTTGGGATCACCTTTTCCAACTTTTTAGTTTTACAGAGGTCAACACTAGGGATCAAAGTAGTTGAGTGATTTTATTCATTGTCAAACACAAATTAGTATCAGGCTAAATATGTCTTTTTTTGTTTATGTTTGTCCTTAGGATAGTTCTTACCTGCAAATATACTTGAGGAGGTTGTAATTTACCACTGGCAAACTCTTCACCTGCTTTGCTAATTCCTTAACACCCTGAGTGCAAAAAAGAAAATACGTATTATCTTTCCACATGTTGGCCTTAGAATTAAAGCAAGTGGGAAATGGCCATATGATTTTCTTAAAACATTAGTTTCACATGTTATCAATGAAAGATTTTGTCCTGAAAACTTACCACCATCACAGTGAATATTTTAGACACATTTTCAAAGATGTACAAGCATTTTAAATATCTCCATAAGTACTATTTGTGGGGAGACAGATTTAAGTGAAGTTGTTTATCATTTTTAACATTTGCTTGCAATTGCCTGAAAAGAGAAGATAAGCTCGTTTATCAATAAGATTATTTGAAAAAAATTAAGCGATGTAATAAGGATCCTTGCAATTTTTAGCATGTGCAGAACATAGACAAACACATCTATTGACAAATAAAAGTCTCTCAGAGCTGGTCATGCTTAGGATACATCATTTGGGGAGAGAATATGATTGGAAAAAGTGATCTTTCTGGAAATTTCACAAAGAACTAATTTATTTGGCTCTTCTCATTGTATGACTTCCCCTAATATGTAAATGATACCAGAAAAGCCAATGGATAATGTAATTTGCTTTCTTCTTCTCCCCAAAAAGGTCCAGATAGTAAATATTTTAAGATTTATGGGACAAATGATCACTGTTTGCAACCACTCAACTGTTCTGTTACAGTACAAAAGCAGCCACAATCAGTATTAGATAGCAAATGGAATAAAACTGCATTTATAAAAATAGGCAGCAGCTTTTGACATGAGAGTCAAGAAAATCTAATGGGGGAAAGAATAGTCTTCAACAAACAGTGCTGGGACAATTGCATATCCACATGAAGAAAAATTAAGTTTGTTCCTTTCCTCACACCAAAACCAAAAATGAACTCAAAGTGAATCACAGATCTAAATGTAACAGCTGAAGCTATAGAAGTCTTAGAAGAAAATATAGGAATAACTCTTTGTGACCTTGTATTAAGCAAAGTCTTCTTAGATATGACACAAAAACACAACTGATTAAAGATAGATAAATTTGACTTCACCAAAGTTTACAACTTTTGTGTTTCAAAGGATACCATTAAGAAAATAAAGAGACAACACACAGAATGTGAGAAAATATTTGAAAATCATATTTATAAGGGACATGTATCTAAACTATATAAACTCTTACAACTCAATATTGTTAATAATAAGGTGAATAATCAAGATAAAAATGAGGAAATAATCTGAATAAATATTTCTCCAAAGAAAATATGCTAATATCCAATAAGTACATGAAAAGACATTCAATCTCATTAGCCATCAGGGAAATGCCATTCAACCTGCAATGAGACATGACTTTACTCATGTTGGGATGGCTAGGACAAAAAAGACAGGTAACAAGTGATGGAAAAGGTTTGAAGAAATCAGAATCTGCACTCATTGTTGGTGGGAATTTAAAATGCTGGAGCCCTTTTGAAAAACACAGAGTTACATATGTCCCAACAATTCTACCTTCTAGGCGTATATCCAAGAGAAATAAAGACATAGGTCTATGCAAAACTTTGTACATGGATGTTCACAACAGCATAATTCAGAGTAGCCAAATAATGAAAAAAGAAAAAAAAAACAAAGGTCTGTCTGATGAATGAATGAATAATGGAATATTGTTTGGAAATAAAAGGAATGAAATACTGATAAGTGGCACAACATGAGTAAACCTTGAAAACAATGAAAGAAGCCAATTGTGCACACACAAAAAAGGGGTTGAATGATTCCATTTATATGGAATCTCCAGAATACGCAAACCTATAGGGACAGAAAATAAATTAGTAGTTGCCAAAAGCTGGGGGACAAAGGAGGATTAAGAGAGGGTAAGAGGTTTATTTTGAGGCAATAAAAATATTGTAAATATTCTAAAATTAGAATTTGATGATGGTTGCACAACTCTGAGAATATACTGAAAACACTGAATTGTGCATTTTAAATCAGTGATTATATTGTATAAAAATTATATCTTAACAAAACTGTTTAAAGAAACAGCAGTAGGTAGGATTTTCTATAGAAGCCACTGTTTGAAGTGGTTTTGGTCAACACAATTAAAAGATTATGAGACACTGCAGTCACTTTATTTTGAGACAGAGTCTCAGTCTGTAGCCCAGGATATAGTGACTAAATCTTGGCTCACTGCAACCTGTCTCCCAGATTCAAGCAATTCTCCTGCTTCAGCCTCCCAAGTGGCTGGGATTATGAGTATGCACCACCATGCCTGGCTAATTTTTATATTTTTAGTAGAGACGGGGTTTCACCATATTGGTCAGTCTGGTCTTGAACTCCTGACCTCAGGCAATCCACTCACCCTGGCCTCTCAAAGTACTGGGATTATAGGCATGAGCCACCTTGTCTGGCCAGCAGTCACCTTTTTGTGTGATATGTGACCTGACATAGCACTGCGTTTACCATTTAGGGAAGTAAAGTGGCAAGTCGTGCTGATTTAATTTATTCAGCCATATTCTTTTTTCTTTTCTTCTTTTTTTTTTAAGCAGAGAGGGGATCAGAAATGGTACTTGAGCTGTATATGGAAAGTTTCAGTGTGTGTGAGGTCAATACATAGGATAGTGGAGAATAACACTGGGATAGGGCAATGGAAATTTACAGACTTAAGACTAAGAACAAAGACAAAAATTCCAAACAAAAGCTTATTTGGAAATAAATGCATCAACTTACTGCTTCCTCTTCCTTGTTGAGCAGTTTGGCACATGACAAAAAATCTTCATACTTCGCATAAGGAATAACTGGTTCTGGAAGTTCTCGGAGATACAGCTTAAGAAGTGATGCCACCGTGTGTACATCTGTGTTGCTGTGGAGACAGAAGTGTGAAGATGTTCTCTGGAATAAACTTCATACCATTCTATTTATTTTTTTCAAGAGCCCAAGAGTCAGAATTCTATCTAAGCTGGCAACGGAATGAATTGTTCCAGTTTTCCGAGAGCATTTATGTGATGCCTACTAGATGCCACCACAGGTGGGGAGAAGAAGGCCTAGAAGGATCTATAGAATCATCAGGGTGAGAGTGGAATGATGGCTACCAGAGGCTGGGAAGGGTAGTGCATGTGTGCGTAGGTGAGGGGGAGGGGTGGGAATGGGGATGGTTAAGGGTACAAAACATAGTAAGGTAGAATGTATAAGATCTAGTATTTGATAACACAACAGGGTGACTACAGTCAACAATAATCTATTATACATTTAAAAACAGCTAAAAGAGTATAATTAGAATGTTTATAACACAAAGAAATGATGAATGCTTGAGATGATGCATACCCCATTTACCCTGATGTGATTATTACACGTGTAGGCATGTATCAAAATATCTCATGTAACCCATAAATACATACACCGACTATGTACCCATAAAATAAAAAAATAAATAAAGAATCATCAGTGTGGTTTGAACATTCAAGCATTTTTTTGTGTGTGTATCTGATGGTAAGCAAAGGTGTTAACTTAAGAAAACAACGAAAATATATTAGATCTTAAATATACTGTAATAAAATTTGCAAAAACAATACCAAATCTACAGATGTGTGTATGTGTGCATTCAATGTCAAAATGAATTACTAAATCCTCACTCATCTCTCAAAATGTTGGACTCATTTTTGAGATGTTGGTGTTTGCCCAGAGATACTCAAAGCTTAGTGTGATATGCTATACATTTTTAACAGAGCTAATTTTGAAAATGATTGATTCTCGGCATAATTGCTTGTCTAATATTCTAAGATAGCTGAGAATCCTTAGAGTCTTCTAGAAAAGAAGAGCAATGTGATGAAAATAAACAATGAACACCTAAAGCCCCTTACATAACTTGAATAATTTATTTCGTCTGCTGAGTGTGAGTGGCAAGATAACTTACTAAAATATTAATTTATATTTTCTCTTCTGTATCTTATAATTCCTGTTAATCCATGAAGATGGATCATAGTAAAGAAAGGAAGAATAGAGTTTTGTGTGGGGGGAGGAGGGAAGTTGTTTGGTTTTTGTATTTCAGGGGAGAAGAGGCAAAAACGTGAAAGGAGAGTTGACTTCCTGTGAACTGGGAAGAGTGGTAGTGAACAACTCAGGGAATTCTTTACCTCACTCTCAAGTTGTGCTGCAGGAAGTGACATGTCCCCAGAGAGGTGTGATTTGAGAAGCTGAGATGCAGGCACTGGGGTTTCCTGCCTCAGTGAATATTCTCTTATCCTAGCTGTGGCATGAAAGCAGAGCCGACTTTACGAAATTATATGAGCTGAGACAACGGGCTTCTCAGTTCTCAATTTTGGGCTCATGGGCTGGTTTCATCAGGTATTTATTTACTGCACATCTACTCCTAATGGGTATTATGAAAAACACAGTGGCTAGGACCTCAGGGGTTTTAATAAGTGGTATTATTCTAGCCTGCTCACTACTTGTAATCTAGTTGAGGCAGCAGATATTAAGCTGCTAATAAGACAAGTATGAGATTCCAAAATAAGATGAGTGGAAATAAAAGAAATTATGGCATATCATCTAATAACAAGAGAAGATTTGGAGGTCTCCTCCGAGAAAATGATGTTTGGGAAAAGATTTGAAGAGTGTGTAAGGACAGAAGAAGGCATTTCTGATCAAAGCAAGGGGGAAAAACAGCCTAAAGTGGGAGAGAGTCACCTGTCTTTGCAGAATTAACAAAGGCTAAGAAGCCCAGAGCCCAGAGTGGAAATGCTTAAGGTCTGAACAGTAGGCAGCAACCTCATGGACCATAGGACTTTGCCTTCTTCAGGGTAAGGGCTGAGGTTTTCCATTTTGACATTAGAGTCTCTCGCAACAGGCATATTGTCAACTGTTTTATAGATGTTAAAACGATGGAGGTTATCTGAAAGGGCTTGTTTTAACTAACTAATTTTGTCTTCTTGATAATTAAGTAAATACACATTTTTCTTTCTAAAATTCTGAACTGATAGACATTATAGAAGAGATCATCTTAAAACCTTGTAAAGAACATATTTCCAGGACATCTTGAAAATTGCAATCAACTCATTCATTCCTAAAACTGAATTCCAAAAAAATTGCTTTTAAAAGACAGATTTAAAATAGTCTCAATGGTAAGACAAGCAATACACTAGTATTTTTGTTTGTTTTCTGAAAAACCACCATATTTCATGTGCGTCAAAGTCTTCTGTGTTTTTCTTGCTATATCTGCCCCTCGAAAGGACAGTCACTAGTAGTAAAAAAACCACAGCCTGGGCAGGATATGCATAGCAGTTAAATATTCCAATTAACTATTTCTTTTTGATTCCACTCTAATTCAATCTACCATCATGACTCAGATTTGTTTGCCTTCAGAGTTAATGATAATTTTGTTAGGTATAGGTAGTACAGAGAGAGAAGAATGTAAAAATAAAATATAAAATAAGTAAGTATATATTTCAATATGTAGAGTATGTTATGTATAATTTGCATGTCTACAGAAACAAGATATCAAATATTTATGAATAAATACAGTAAATAAATGAGACAATAATGATAAACAAGAAAGATTTAACAAAAAATTTGCTCTAAAGTTTCATTGACGATCTATTTATTACATTGACTGTTCCCAAACACGCTGTTTTTAAAGTAAATTGCTTAGCACTTTACTGTCTTGCTTTTAATGAAGTGAAGCATTTTATAAACTATGGTATTGAGAAGCTTTGAACACTAGATGGCGAGATTGCAAAGTCAGACAATGAGATGGTGTAAAAATTGTAAAGAATGAAGGGCTGCAGAATCATTCTTCCTCTACCAGCAATTTTCTTAGCACCAAAGCTGCAGTAATGTTCCAGGAATAGAAATATTTGAGCCATGAATCAAGGTAAGAAAGGTGGAGTGGGATGATTATTTTATTCCTTCCCAGAAGTGATACAAGAGCTTTCTAGCATTACAGCATATATGCACACAGCTAATTATGTAAATGATGAAAAAAAGTCCAATTACATTTTGTTTGATTAACAAAGGTTATTAAGTTTTTGCTTTAAGGCTAAAATTTAAAAATTTATGATTCTTTTTTGGGCTTTATTAAACTTAGGCTACTCTGTAGAAATAGAGACTTTTGCATTTTTCTAGAGTTTTCATTTTTGCTTTGAACTTTCTCACTAAAGAAAACAATCATTTCTAGACAGAATCTAACATATTTTTTCCAGTTCTGATTCACCTCAAGAGGTTCTCAGTCACATGCCCTAATTGTTAGTAGGCTACCTATTGCAATGAGGAAGTCTGGTGTTTCTCTGAAAAATATATTTCTATGTTCAGTCTACAAAATAGAAACCCTGTGAATCTCCCTCTCTAGCCTTCTATCTCTTATTGAAAATCCACTACTTTGCCAAATTAATATTTACCTCAGTATGTGCAACTAATTAATTAGCTAACAATATTATGTGTAATTGCCCAATGTACCTAAAAGAAAGTACCATCTTTGTCTCAGAGAAATATATCTCAGTCTTCCCCAAAGTAAAGTGAAGTGACTGCATTGTGGCAAAAGTCTATGTACAATGGAGAATAAAAATTCTTCCCCTAAGAACAACAACACATTTACATACATCAGGGCCTCACTGAAGGCCAATGAGTAGGTTCTGCTGTTAACCCCAGTAGTACTTTAACAGGAAACTGCACAAAGATTCTTTTTGGTTAACACTGAGATATGAGATCCTTTAGCGTCATGCTCTCTGGTATGTTAAATAAAATTGAAAATGGTCCAAGAATGCCTCCCTACAAGTTCCTAACTGCGACCTAACTCAGTACCGGAAACAAAGTAAAAACCTGACTAGGAGCAAATAGCTGAGTTTCAGCTAATCACAGGCAGCAAGCTGTGCAAACCATGTATGAGATGTTAACCATATAACTGGGCTTTCTCTGTACCTCGCTTCTGTTTTCCATAGGTAGCTTCTTTTCTCTGCCTGAAAATATAACCTGCACATGTGATAGAGCAGAACATTCTGAACCATTTTGGCCCAAAGTGCTGCTACATTCTAGAATCACAAAAAAAGGCAATGAAGATCTACAAAACTAGATTTGTTGTAATTTTATCTTTTAACAGGTAGAAGTTCAAGACTATTTGCTAATGTAAAGTCATTATGCAGACTCAAGACGCTTTCACTCTGCTGGTAGTAGAGTCTTTTCAGAAGGTAAGATAAATAATCAAGTATATTATATCCAGTGGTAGACAAAGGCAGCACGAGATGGGCCCAGAGATCTGAGTGAAAGAGCTCTCAGACCAGGAGGAGCTTTGTAGCATATGTTCCTTAGTTGAACAACATATAGATTTGGTTTGCATCTTATATCATACTTGGACTTTACGTTTGAATCCTGTTTCCTCCTGTTTATTGCTTTTTTACAAATTTAAATGGAGAATTCCATGAGGCTTCCTGTGATTGACCTAATTTTGTATTCTCATAGGTTTACTTTGATCATTCTGGGATCAATCATTCACTCACCAAGTAGTTCCTGAGCACCTATGATGTGCACAGCCTCAGGCCACATGCTAGGTGAAAAATAAATAAATAATATAGACCGTTTTTTCCTCCTTTGAGTTTGTATTTCTAACTGATCACCAATACTTTTCCATACCATCCCTCATTTTCTTCTACTTCATAATAGTTTCTGGGTATTCTAACTGCTGAACTCCTGCCAGGTGTGTGATCTGAAGAATGTTCTTTATATTTCCTGGAAATTATCTGTCCTACTTATCATGTAGGTGCGACACAGGCCTCTTATTAATCTGAACAAGGATAAAAAAGTCTGACAAGAATCCCTTTTTGCTCATCCTCTATCCTCATTCCTCCTTTCCTCATAAACATATTTACACACACTGATAAATCCAAATGCCACCATAATTACAATATAATACTTCACAGACAAAACCTTGTAATATTTAAGTCTCAAAATTAGAAATGGGAATTTTTCACTCTGAATACTATGCAGTATAATCCCTTGGTTTAACTGAATAGAATGAATTTTCAGTGCACCCACATAGGAAGTTATTAAAGATATTGTGAACTTACCTGCAATGAGCACAATGAGATAACCTAAAATTCACTTAGAATTAAAAAATAATAATGTCATATCCATCAGCCTCCAGGGAGAACATATACGAGACTGAAAACATTCAGCAATACTTCCAACACGAATGCTACCACCAAATGGTCTTGCTTAAGCAATACTCTGCTTTGCCTGCTGAGTTCACCAAGACATAGAAGCAATTCCAAACATACTAAGCAGCTCCAGACTAAACTCAACGTTTCTTTAAAAAGTCTGGTTCTGTTCAAACTTATTTTTTTATGTATCTGTCAAAATGGATGCATTTTTCAGCAGTAAAACTAGAATCTGGTTAAACTGTCAAGGCTTATTGCAGTTACATAAGTGTCACCACTGAATTACATACAAAACCAAAAGACTGTTTCAGCTCCAGGCTAAGTGCTGGACTGCAGTGAACTAGTGCTTGTCCCAATAGGATTCTCCTGGTTTAAAGCTGCTGATGGCAGAGAACTGCATTTTACCTGCTATGGTTTGAATATCCCCCCACCCTATTCCTATCAAAGCCTAACTCCTAATCCAATGGTACTTGGAGATAGGGCTCTGGGACGTAATTAGGGTTAGATAAGTTCATGAGGGTGGGGCCTGGCCTAATGGGATTAGGGCTTTTATAAAATGAGACACTAAAGAGCTTGCTCTTTCTCTCTCCGCTTGTCCAGGAATCCAGCCAGAAGACAGTTATCTGCAAGCCAAGAAGGCAGCATTCAGCAGAGCACAACCATGCTAACACCCTGATCTTAGGTTTCCAATTTCCAGAACTGTGAGATAAGAAGTTTCTGTTGTTTCAGCTACCAGTCTATAGCATTTTATCATGACAGTTTGAACTATCTAAACAACCTCCAAGACTACTTTTGGTGAGCTTTTTTGTAAAACTGTTGACGGTACTATCAGAGTACTAAGTAATGAAACATTATTGCAAAAACAGAAACATGCTTTCACTTGATGTAAATTTATGGAAACACTGTCAGATAAACCAATGTAATATAGAAAACAAGGATTCACAACCTTGGCTGCACACTGGAATTACCTGAAAACTTTTTCTAATAATTGCTGACCGGGTTTTATACATTCTGGTGTAATTGATCTGGGTTAAATCTTGGGTGTTGAGATTTTATTCTCTAGAACATGTATTTGGAGTGGAAAATTCCAAAGAAAGAAGGGAGTTCCAATGTATAATGGTCACAAGTTTAAATGTGGCCACTTCTAGCATCCGTGGGAGCCTACTACTTACATATTTGTCTTCCCGGTATTCCCCAGTGAAAGAGATGAGATTGTGTCCCCACCCGAATCTCATCTTGTAGCTCTCATAATTCCTATGTGTTGTGGAAGGGACCCAGAGGAGATTATCGAATCATGGGGGTAGGTCTTTCCTGTGCTGTTCTCATGATAGTGAATGGGTCTCATGATATCTGATGGTTTTAAAAATGGGAGTCTACCTGCACAAGTTCTCTCTTTGCCTGCACCATCCACGTAAGATGTGACTTGCTCGTCCTTGCCTTGTACCATGATTGCAAGCCTTCCTTAGCCATTTGGAATTGTGAGTTCTCTATTAAATCTCTTTCTTTTGTAAATTGCCCAGTCTCAGGTATGTCTTTATCAGCAGCGTGATAACAGACTAATACAGTGCCCAACCTTTACCAAATTGTCACATTGATCTTTTCTTTCCTCCCTCTAGAATTACTTATGTGTATAGAGGTATGTATGTAGAGACTCCTCCCTTTCAATGCTAGCTAATCATATAAAAAGAATCTTTGACAATTTAATATACAATCACTCCAACATCCCATACATGCAAGCACATGCATGTGAGTGTACACACACACACGTACACAAATCAGCCTCTATATGTATAAAAGATACAAAATGTAACAAATAAAATACCTTGCAGTATAGCTGTAAGACAGAGATTACTTTGAACAATCTGAGTTTGGTGCTTCTAAACCACAGAATTCTCAAAAAGAAAGTAGCTAACTCCCTAAGCTGAAAAAAATTATGGATATTTATTCATTTTCTAATGTTTCCCATGAGTAAGTCTCTATTTCAATGTTTCTTTGACACCTTACTCGCCTTTCCCTTCCACCTCCTTGCCTCTTCTCTGACCACCATTCCTTACTAGTTAACTCCTGAGCTCTTCTTCCTCTGCTGGACTCTACATGGTGTTGTTTTCCTGGATAACCTGCACACTCTTTGGATTAATCCATGAGTTCCACTGTCACTTTGCTACAAGATTACAAAATCCATATCTCTGTATCAGACCTTTCCACTGAATTCTCATATGTTTCATATGTATTTGAACTTCATATGAACAAAACTGACTGGCAACAACAGAAAAAATCTCCAGTAAAATTGTTCCTCTTTAGCATTTTTTTTTTCACAATGGATGGCATCACCATTCACGCAAACAAGCAAGAAACCTAGAAGTTAAACTAAATCTGACTCTTCCCAGGACTCTACGTCTAACAGCAATTGGTGATTCTCTGACTGAGCAGTATGATGGAATTACCTGGGAAGTTTTAAAAAAAAAATACTAATGCCCGGTTCATATATATTCCGACATAATAGCTTATGAATCCATACCTTCTTTGGAAATCTCACTGACACTGCTTAAGTTCAAGTTTATATTACTCATCTCCACTAACACAATACCATATTAACTGGTCTTCTTGATATCAAGCCTGTCCTCCTACCTCCAACTCCCTTAAAAAACATATGGGTAGTAATCATCAGTCCCAAATAAATATAAATAAAAAACAAAATGCATTGTTGTATAGCTTTTGAATACCGTATTTAAATGCAAAGGACAATTGTTTAAGCATAAATAAATGAATATGTATCCCACAAAAACAGACACCCCTATTTTATAAATTAGTCATTAGAGTTGTTGCTGTCTAGTTTGAATTAATATGTTTGAGAGCATCAATTTACTTTAGAAATAGACATATTCTACTGTGCCTCTCTAAATTAAAAACTTAGACTAAAGAATAAAAATAAATTCTGATTTTTTCTGTTATAGTACCAATGTGTTTTCACAAAAAAAGAAAGGTTAGCAGGATCAAGATACTTATAAAGCTTGATGTAGAACATTCAGAAAAGTTTCCTGAAAGCAATAATTACATCCGTATATAACTCTTCTAAACAGGTTACTTTGTACAACATATGCATTCAGTTCCAATAATAACAAAACCTAATTAAAATCTTAAGTGTTGTCAGTTACAAAATAAATCAACACAGCTATTAAATGACTCAATATGTCCTTACAGTTTTACTGATTTTATACCCAAGATTCAATCTCATATCCAAATTTAGCTTAGAAGTAACATTCAAATACACAAGATGCATCTCATACTGCAAATGATACTAATATTTTCCAAACTTAACAAAAAAAAAACATTAATTTTCCCCCAAAGAGATTAAATCTAAAATAAATGATCCCACAAAGACTTTTCTATTAAACTAAGATCCTAGTCATATCAATGATCTATACAATTATTTAGAACAAGTATTGAATTAAGAAACTATTTGAAAGTAAGCAATGATAGAAAGACGATAGCTTGTTTGCAAACTATAGAGGTTCTATTGTAAATATGTGTACAGATACGTATTACACACACACAAATGTACATACATATAGATACATATATATTTTGTTCTTTGTAAAATCATTTTAAACATATCCAATCAGTTTTATGGTAGAAAGAAAATCAATCAAATCTCCTGTGGGATGTTATTCTCTCCTTAGTGTCTGTAGTTCCTCATTGCATTTATTTATAATTGTCCCAGGAGAAAGCTAAAGCCTTGAGGTCCCACAGAGTATCTGTAGTTACCACTGGACAAGTTTGCTTAAGAGTTTTAATAAACATAGACATTCTATATCTAGGTTGGGAGTCATCATGAAGTAATATCCGCACATTAACTCCTTCTCTGACTGCTCTGTGGAACATCACTTCCTAAATTCACAAAGAATAACGTACATACTAAGGAATGCAAGAATGATTTAAAAGATTGGTAGGTTATTGCCAATTCAGATGACCTATTTTCAGGTGGATATAAAGTATTCACCATAAGAGATTCAACAAGAAAACACATTTGTTATACTTAACAAACATCACCTATACTATACACTTTACTATCTACTATACAATAGGTTACACGACTAGTTTGAGAGAGGTGAACTTCTTGCTCACCTCACATTTCTCCCAGGAATTACTCAGAAATAAAAAGAACTGAATGAAATAATGCACAATCTCTAGGTACACTATAATGATGCAGTTATCTAATTAGATACTGTAATAGTGAACTTTGATTTTTTGCTAAGCTGGGGTACTCTACTTTCCTAACCTTTGATTCCTGATATACAAACACGTGATGGTATTTTTTCATTGAGAGTTTACATGGCTGTTCTAGTTTTCATGTCTTACATTATTAGTAAATATATTAATATATGCCTGAGACTTCATCACATAGCCCTTTCTTGCTTCAACTGGAGCTAGGACTTGAAGTGCAATGGGTTGTAATTTCAGTATCATATGGTCATAAAGTTTTGGCAAACTGTTAGTGAACTTGGCATAGCAAAAATAGAGAAATTTTGGCTGTATTTAGTTACTTTACCATTGTATTTGCCTGCCTACACCTTTTTGCCTTCACTAAGCTCTGCAGATGGGGTTTCAGAAGAAACAAAGGAAATGTAATCTTCATAATACATTCAACAGTTTATCTCATAATCTGAGAGATTTTAGATTATGTAACCAAGGACTTCCCAAGAGAAACATTATTGGTATTCTCATGCTGAGGGGTACATTTATACTTAAACATACATGTGTGTATGTGTGTGTGCACATGTATGTGTGTGTGTATTCTCTAACATCATTTAAAAGCCATATTATATATACTTTAATAGTTCCATTTTTAAATAAAAAATAAAATATAGCCAAACACTGCAAATAATTTTCTAGCTAATGGAGGCTAGATAGTAACTTATTACTTATTCATATGTTCCCAAAAATGACCTTATTGCATGTCACTCATTTCCTGCCATATTCACTACAATTGTGGAGAACTATGATTATCTGATTCTGGGATGGCCAATGAAAATCACATATATTCTTTCCTAGAAAATATATTTTCTTCTAGTAAAAATAAATAAAGTAAGAAAACAAATTCTTGTGCTCCACGCAAGAGATGAGTAACTAGAGGCCTAGTTTTGCGCAGCTGAATCTCTAACTCACAGTGTAAGAGGAAAATTAAAAAGATTTTCTGGCGTATTCAGTTGAGTCAACAAGTTATTGCCAAAATCATTCAAGTCCACAAAAAGCCTGTCCCTTCTCTGAACACTTCAACAATCTTTTATCCCAACATGGAAGTATTCTTAGTGTATTGGACTGGATGATACCATCCTAGTTTATTAATATGTATGTATAAATCAAGGGGAACACATAAAAAGGTTTAAAAGAGCCCAGTTATGTCTTTATTGTAGCTCTCAGATTAAAAATGCAGTTCATGCCCTTTGCTAGAAGGGATCCTTTGTCACTACATTTCAGATGATTTTTATATTAGTGTTTTCTATTTGGACTACTTTGAAAGAGGGGTCCGAGTGAGGAAAGAAAGAGTGTTAAAACAAATTTCATTGAGAAGAGGCAAGTTTTTTGTTTTATTCTGGTTTGGTTTTTGTTATTGTTTTGTTATAAATCAAAATCTAGTTTGCTTTGTGAGTACAGTGCATCGATAATCATGACAGCATTTCAGGCGTAGAAAACAAATAAACGTACTGGTCCTGACTTAGAACTGCGGGTTTTACGAAATTTTGAACCCATTCATAGGATTATGACCTTGCATACTGACCCAGGCAGGCATTTTGCCTTAGTTGACAAAAATTATTTTCTAACAGAGTTTTAGAAATTATTTTGCAACATGGTAATTTTCAAGTTTCCTAAATTCTAATCTATGAAAGCAAGCACTTGAGTTTTCTGCTTCCTGAGGTATCACAAATCTGGGCATTTTTTTTTTTTTTTTTTTTCATTCAACAGCTGCATTCAAAATATACTCATAGTATTGACTTATTTAACAAAGATTTATTGAATGCCTACATTATATTAGACATTGTTCTAGGCATTAGAGAGAAAAAAGATGATTAAGATTCATAAAATTCTCTACCTTCTTTGAGTTCATATCCTAGTTCTATGTGTAAGTTTGACTTTACGAATACAGAGTTTTCAATGAATATCTACAGTGATGTCCTCTTGGGTATATAAGTGTGTGTTCCCATGATATTGTAGACATTTATATCGACCCTAAACTGATATTCACAGAACATCACTATTAATTCCCTAGAGACTTTGTAACCATTTCCTTACCATGGATTATCAAAAGAATCGGAAAAATAAAATATTCTAAAACCAAATATCTTCTAAAGAGTAACTTGGATTTTTTTGCAACTTTTTAACTGTTCCCCTCAATTTAT